GCCAGTACCAGGTCAAGCAGCGCTTTGCCTCTTGTTGGCACATAGACTTCTTGAGTCAGGATAAGTTATGTCAATTCAAACCTTATATTATTTTTATTTAAATGTGTATTAATCTTTTTAAAAATTATATGAATTGAAAATGTAATCTCACCTGCAAAGTGAAGTAGCAATCTTGGCAGTTCTGGTATGCAAGTCCCAGTCTTTCAGCATGCAGTTTGAACTTAACTGTGAAAACAGAATAGGGGCAATACAGCACAACTTTGAAAATTAAAGGAAGAGGGGTTTTGTTAAATCATTAAAGGCATTATCACTTAGTTAAGGCAAATGAAGATATCTAGGATGCTGCAATAATAAAAAACAGAAAGAAAACAAAGCTAATTATTTCAGTCAGTAAACTTGTGTTTCCAAATGACAGCTACCCATGATTTTTCAGTCCCTCTGCATCCAACCAGTCAAAAGAAGGATACTGAAAGCAAGGTGCTGGAAAACGCTGTCATGGTTATAGCACCCCACTTCGCAGGGTCTGGGCTCCATGGAGTAATTGCATCTCTAAAATAATATGCATCTCTCTGTAAGATTTTTGAGATGTCGAGTGAATGAGATTTTTAAAGATGAGATCTCTGGTCTTGGCAGTCCTTGGGCAATCAAGGAGTGCCAGAACGAAATAGCCCTGACAAGTTTCTCACACAGCTGAATGTGCAGTAGCATTAAAATGTACCTGTCATCATTTTAAAATGATGAAGAGAAGATCTTCTCAAAGATCTCCAGGATGTTTAGCAGTCAGCATAGATCAGAGATATCTCAGTGAACCACACAGATGGGAGGAAACAAGAGGCAGAAAAGACTCATTCCTGATATCCTGCAACTGTGCCTCAATTTCAGCCACATCTGCCACCTGGACTCATTGGCTTCAGTGAAGCATCTCGACTCCTTTACCTCAGCAGGCACATGGGATAAAAAAATTAAGCCACCAAAGTGACTTGGAAGTCTGAGTCCCATATTCAAAAGATTTAGACTGTTCTTAAGTCAAAGAGACTTAAAGTGCCTAAATAAGGGTGCCAGGTGATTTTGGCAGTTTTAAAATGTTTCAATCCCTTTGACTTTCAATGAGACGTAGGCTCCAGTGTAATTAAGCTGCTTTTGAAAATGGCACTTGAGTGTGTTCGAAATGTAACCAGCTACTTTGAAGAACTAAGCATGAAGTAGGTTTTCATGTTATATTGTGCTTTTCACCAACATTTTCTAACCAGTGACTGTTGAGAAAACCCATTTTCAGTCATGGAAGACGGCTGTGTTTATGAAACAGCTCTACTCACAGAGCTAGATGAGAAACAAGTCCACTACAGGCAGTTACTAGTCTCACAGCTGCTGTAAGGTTAGCCTCTCCCATTCCCAGCTGTTTTGTTGCAGCCCCACCTCTACAAAGCTCAGTCTTCACACTTAGGAGCATGATGCTATGCAACCTCCGGAGGCAGTCCAGATAGGGGAACGGTGGCATAGCTCTTAGGGAGCTAAGGTGGACCATTGGGCATCCGTTGTACTCAGGAGGAGGCTGCAATCGTACAACTGTGAATTTCCATGTTAGCAAAAACCATAGCTTCCCCCTGACTTCCAGCCACATTGTTACAAGGAGCTGTTTAATGTCAACATTAAGGAAGTGTAGATTTTGTGGTGACCATACTACCTTTTGCCTTATCGGTCAATTAGCCAAGAGCCTTACCTTTCTAACAATGAAATATCAATACTTTATTTGAAAGTAAATTTAACAAAAGAAGGGAAACAGCAACAGCTCATATTCAGCCTGCTATATTCTCTTGCATGAGGTACTTTCTCTAACGTTATCACAACAACATACTTCAGCGAACCAGTTCCAGAACATGTATTCTGATCCTGTTGTCGTCTCTACAGCGTCAAGAGAGATTCCCTACGGTAAGAAGGCAGTGTTTCATACTTGGTAAGCAAGAGTTTCTACTTGCTCAGAGGTGGGAGGTTTTAACTGCACATACCGGCTACTGATAATATTTCGTGGTCCATGAGAGGGGACTGCAGCACTTATTTATGTGCTAACCAGAAGTGAAAGCAACTTTTTACTTCACTAGTAAACACGCCACATAGTAGGAAATGCTGCTACCCTATCAACCAAATGCAGTCGTTATTAGTCTTTCGAGGGTCTAATATCACTGGCCTGTACATGCTGTGTAATTGCAACCATTATTCTTTTATGTGTCTTTGTTTCCTAAACAGATTAAATTAAATGTATACACCAACCAGTAGAATAGGAAGACACAAGGTTAATCTAACATAGCATTTCCTGTTTATAGAGATAAGCAGTGTGTTGGCAAACGGTGAACTAGACTTGCTTATGTCTTAAGTAACATATATCTCTGTTTCACCTTTGGTTAGCTGTGACAGGTGAAGTTCCAATAATGTTCTTTCAGCTGGAAGCAAAAAAGCAACAAAAAATCAAACCAAAACAAAAAATGCAAAAAAGAAAGGAGTTTGATGAGACTTAAGTGTTTATGGACAATGCTTCTGCATGGGAAATGGTTATGCACATTTGGCCATATTTCTCAGAAGCACTTGCCTGGAAATTCCCTTCCAGAACCAGATTCTCACAGGCAGATCACTCCAGCATGTCAATACGTGTATGCAGTGCAAAATGTGCTGTTACTTTACCACCATATCCTGCATCCATTGAAGTCAGCATGAGTCAGGGGCCAGGTACAGACATTACACTTTTACTAGTATAAGAGATGAGAAACCAGTCTGTACCTGGAGCAGAACAAAAGTACAACACATAGACTGATTTAAAAATGGCAGAACCAGGTCTAAGATTGATGCTCCAACCAAAGGACAAATGTGTGTTCTGCTCACTTCCAATCTCAACTACGCTGCTTACAGAAAACTGCATAACTTAAACCAATTCTGCCTTGAATGTCAGTTTTTTGAATGTCTGTACCTAGCCAGGTTGCACAAGTAACATGTGACCACAACAACAATACATGGGCAGCTACATTTGCTTTTTAAGTTTTAAACAGATAGGTAGAACTAGGCACTAAATATTTTATCACAGATCCTCAGCTGCTGCAAGCCACAGTAGCTCCATAAAAGTTACTGGGGCTATGACAGTCATGGAGCTATGCATCATCTGAGGGGTATGGGCATGTGAAAAAATTACCGTGAGGTCATGAAGGATAAAGTTGTATAATGCATCAATTGTTATGTGGCAACTGTCCATGTACAGGCTCTTATCCCGTGAAAGAAGAAGGGCCGTAGCAGAACAAGTGCAACTGAGCTTTCATTTGCCACAATATAAGAATATACATGCAGGCAGTTGTCTTACAGTAGGAGAGACATACTGTAAAACCCACCCTCATGTACTTTGAACTGGCCCAGTAGCATCACTGAGTGAGAAAAATGGCTTCCAGATGTAAGTTTGCACCCTTCTGTAACCTTCGGTTAAAGTGACTGACCGCTTGAAATCTCCTGGCACAGTTCTAAGTCTTGGAGCTGTATCTCATTGTCTCCAAAGAGTTCCAGAAATGGGACTTTTGTCCTGAATTAAAAATAAAAAAGTCTTAAATTAGCTGACCTACCCTTCATCTCCAAATGTTCCTATGGCAGTAGGCAGTATCCTCTGTGTTCACTGAGAGGATGCAGACAGTACTGCCTGGGCCTCATGGACATGAATGTGGTAGGATAGCCATGTTCACATGGCAATGCCACTGGGCAAATTAATGCCACATCTTAGCGGAGCAAATTTACCCAACCACAGCACTATATTTAGGTAGCTCAATCATAACTGGAAGTGATTAGAGACTACTTATGGAGGTCCATGGAATAACTGAAATTGTGCCCCAGTTTTTGCTCCTTAAGATTTGGTCACTTTACCTTCAGTCTTAGAAAAATATAATTTTCCCATCAGGCTACTGGGCTTATAATCTATGACCCTGATTTGGCCATATTGTATGTGAATAATACACAATAGTAATATCACTGAGTTTAACAGGGTGACCTATTTACATGAAGTTACTCACATGTTTGCATAATTGGAGCCAACAAGAATATCTGCCATAAAACAAAAGCTATTTGATCACCTCTTTTTTAATTCCCTCATTTTTCAGATGGTGAAGTTGGAGTTCTTTGGGGACTAGGCATCGGTACGATCATACTGTCAATTGCCCTTTTAACCTTGATGTCTAAAAAATCTTTTAGAAAAAGGTACTCTTTTCTTTTTTTGTTTCTAAAACATTCTTCTCTTTGAACACTCTAGGATTACTGTAACTGTAGAAATTGATCCTTTTGTACAGACTTTTACACAGGACAACTTTTCCTGTTAATAATACTGCTATCAGAAGATGCCCTCCATATATTTTATGGTGAGATAGACAACCACAAGGAAAAGTAACATGAATATTCCTTTGGAAAGCCCATAGTTAGGGACCAAGGGGTAAGTCATTATAGAAACATGAGAGAGGAAGCAAAAAGTTTAACCCAAATCCATTTTAGTGTAGTCTCTTCTTAGAATGGATGACTCTACTTCTAAGTCAAGAACAGAAACTGCTGCTCAAATACTACCTGGTTCTTGGTCAAGCAGAGTGCTATGGCATTGCCAGATTTTGGACCCTCCAGAGGTATAAAATGAAGTAGGATAGAAAGGAGCATGGAGACTGGTGAGGTTTAGGCAATGTGAGTTGAACACCAGGTCTGATTTAATCAATACTGCTGGGAATGAAACTGTTAAATAACAGAATAATAGTATATTGAAAACAGAGACTCACCAGCTTCCTCAAGAATATAGCAAACCACGGTGAAGAGAACGCAACTCTGTCATTTGAAATCTCTCATCACTAATTTTCATTTTGTCAGTATATACAACAGCGTCAAACATAAAAGGGTCAAGTTTTAATATTACAGAATTTCTGATTATGTCTGAGTTATTCTCATCAGATCAGGACACATATGCATCCTCCTATTTATATGTAATTTTTTTTTCAGTTTAGCAACTGGCAACACTGTTCTTGAGCATGTGCACTTTCCATGAGAGCTGGTTGTGAGCAGTCCCTCAATAGGATGATAGCTATTTCCTGCGTGCTCTGGGTATCATCAGCAAATGGAGCTCTCAGTTGTTTCACAGGGAAGTCTCTCGATGGGGATGGGCTTTCAGGATCAAGCCCTGACTCAGTTGTGTGCAGCTTCCAAGCTAATTCTTTCGGCTAGGGACAGACACTACGCATAAACCAGTTTAAGAGATCAGAAAGTAGTTTAAACCTTTAACAGAACCTCAGTTTAGTGCACATAAACCAGTTTCAAAATGGCCAAAACCAGCTGGAGATAAACCTGGTTGAATGTAGTATCAGACTTCACTGATTGGGGTCAAACTGGTTTATAGAACTTGTGTCCCAGACCCTTTCTGATTTAAGTTAAATCAGAGTCCTCCAGTATCCCAGCATGCTCTACAGCCCTGGGCTGGGCTGGGCTGTCTGCTTCAGCCAAGCAGGGTTGGCCCTGCCCTTCTCCCTAGCCAGAGCACTATCACTGCTCAGGCTGGCTGAGGAAGTGGGGGGATGGGAAACCCTGCTCTGGAATATTGCCAGGTCTGCCTAGAAGGGGGCAGCAGCCTTTGCCAGGTGCCCCCAGGCCCCACCACCCTCGCTGCTCCAGTGGCAGGAGTGGGGGCAAGGGCAGGGCCAGACCTTGGTACCTTAGGGGAAGTGGGAGTTTAATTCCCCCATTGCAGGGTGGTGGTGGGGGGTGGCATGGGCACCGATAGGCTCCGCTTGTATACCTGGGGCCACAGCAGCCAGATACCAGTAATCTGAGGGAAAGTGGGGTTTAATCCCCCCATTGCAGGCAGCAGGAGTGGGGGCACTGACACAGTGGCCTGGGCTGATCTCCTCCAAGGAATGGCCAGCTGGCTGCAGGGAGTGGGGGAGGGGGGGGACACAGCCCAGGGTGCCATGTCAGTGCCCCGCCCTGCTGCTGCCTGCAATGAGGGGATTCAACGCCCCACCCCTCTTCCCCTCAGGCTACTTGCGTCTGGCAGCCACAGCCCTGGGGACATGGCCCTGGGTGCACAAGCGGAGCCTACCAGTGCCCACGCTGCCCCTCCCCTGCAATGGGGGCATTAAACCCTGCTTCCGCTCAGGCTCCTGGGGTCTGGCTCTGCCCCCTCTCCTGCTGCCAGCTAGCAAATGAGGGGGACGACCGCTTCCCCCAGCTGGGGTCCCTGCAAGCCAGGGTGGGGGTTTAAACCCCTCCTCAATCACACTCAGGCCTGCCCAGGCCTGGCCATGCCCCACCTCAGCTTAGTTTCCCTCCAGCCAAGGGCTTGCTCTAGCACTCCCCAGCTTATGGCCTGAGCTACTGCAGGCATGTGCCTGCATTTCCAGAGGCAAAAGTGAATGTCTATTCACTTGCAAATTGGTTCAACCTACACAGGTTAAAGTAACCTGCAAAGATTGAATCAGTGCAGGCTCTGGCTTTTTGAGTGTCTGTCCCTTATTGTCTAAGGACCCTATTCAGCATTTACCTTTCTCTGACTTTCACAGAAGCTGTGCCTCAGTAAGAAGTGCTGAATGGAGCACTTAAATTGAGGTCAAGGGAAATTTGCCAGGAGATTTCAATTCTATATTTACAGTTTAAATAGTTCTCAAGTTCCTTTCAAGGAGTCTTGAAAAGTTCATGCCACGATGTTATCTATAATATATCACTGCAAGTCTACAAGCACTTATTGCTCATGGCATGAAATGCACAGCCTCCACCCATCCAGAGGTCCCAAAGAAGTCCTAAATGCCACTTACACAAGCCATAAAAATACACAGAGCTTGGATTACCTCCCTGGCAAGGACAGATTTCTCCCATAATGTACAAGTAATATCTTTTCTTTTTTGAAGAATTAGCACAGTGGCTGTGTCACTGACACCAACATGTCTGCTTGAAGATTTCCCTCATGTGGAAAACAGCAACATGATCAAATCACTCCAGGTAACTACTCAACACAAAAGCAAGGTTTTTTTTTTTTTGATTTTCCATATGAAATAAAATTAATTCTATATGTGAATATTTCTGACAAACACATACGGCCCTACATGAGAAATTCTTCCTTGGACAGCCGGGACAGGTTCTGCTATGGGTCTGGGTCAAATTCAGTGGCCTTGTGGGATAGATACAAAATAAGTTTGCAAGCTCTTTCAAGCAAGGACGGTTATTTTCTAGGTGTTTGTATGGTGCTTGAACACCAGCACAATATAAAAATAAAACAACCACCGTCATATCCAGGATTTGCCCTGAAGTATATTTGAAAGTAGGCAGCACACAACTGCTCCCTTTATATCACTCTTCTGTTCTTTTTAGTTCACTTTGCAGAAGCTGATTATTAAGTAATGGTAATATGTGTTAATAAGGGGGACAGAAAGCAAAGAGAAAAAAGGGCAAGTGAATAAAACAGTAGAGTTATGAATTGCTCCCTTCTTTGTCTCATTTTTACACAGCAGTGACATTTTTACAACTGACAAAATATTGCCTGTTTATGTGATTTTTTTACCAGAAAAAAAGTGAATTCATGAATGACATCTCCACTGAGTTTTACCTGGTTGACGATGACCCTGTAGTTACAGAAATACAGGAGAGCTTGCTGCATGAGGAGAACAAGACTGTGGATACCCCAAAAGACAACAGAGAAGTGACTACTGAGAATGCAGACAGTCCACAAAACTCTTCACCTGACAGATTTACAGCCACTGAGCATAGCTATGGGTATAAACCCCAGATTTTCAATGGAAATACACTAGGATATATATGTAGCAATACTTATGAAACTCAGACCCAAACACTGGATCCACACACTTCTCCATCAAGCCTAGATACAAATGTTTTCTCAAAGGATGATACAAGCCCTACTCCTTACTTGTGGAACGCTGAAGGAGTGGAGAGGAATATATTTTTACTTGAGAAGATTAATCTCATTTTAAGCAATAGCAGAAGTGGGCAGAGCAGCACTTTCAGTTCAGCAAATGAGGAGCCACGTAGACTTGTTGAAAACCAGCGGAAAGGATCACTGTCCAGTGAAAATGTTCAAGAGCAGACACTGGTTCCCGATGAGTTGGTTTCTTGCTTAAGTGCTCTAAATGAAGACTCCAGGCATATTAAATCTTATTTTCCACAAACCACTGGAAGAATATTTCAATAGAAATAACTGTAAAATAAAAATCAAGTTTTTTTATGACCATGAGTTACCCATATTTGAGTTTTCAAACATCAGAACTGAAAACATAACTCAGGATTTGAAGTTTATATTCTTAAGTGGAATCAAAAAACTTTTGCATGAGACCTAGCACATTTCTGGTCTGATTCATAGCCATTAAACTCATGGGGCAGTTTTCACAAGCATGAGAATGTAAATCTGATTTCCTAGATAAATTCAAACTAAGGAAATGTTATCCTGCTTCCTCCAATGCCCTTTGCAGTCCTAACTAGATGCTGTATTTCCCCACTTCTCGTTTTCTTACAGGTATGATGTTTCACTCCAGAGATGGTTGCATTTTAGTGATGCATACAATGATTAGCTGTGGGTCATAAAATACCATGGGATTGTCTGGAATGGCAAGGCATTACATTTAAGATGATTTATGTATTGAATGGTAGAGACCTGGATGCTATAAGTCACAAAGTTGTTCTCATATAAAGGAATACAGCTATTTATTTTTCCACTTTTGTCTAGAAATTAAAATATATTAGAACTAGATGTGATCAACCTTTGCCCAGCCCAGTTAATTTAAAACATCTTTCTAAACTTGGCACAACATAAATCCTTCATTCCAAATTCATGATTCAGATATATAGGTTTGAAAAGCCAGCACCCTGCAGTCAATCATTAATTGAAGGAATCCTTCAATCACCATTGCAAGCCCTCAAGCATAAGGAACAATATCTGAACCGCCATGAACACCAACAACATGCTGGAATTAAAAGCAGGAAAGATGACAGTATTACAGTTATCACCCGCCTACCCACACACATGCACGCACTCACAAGCTTTCTTCTTATGCCCTCTTCAGTTGTTTCAGCTTCACACATTACAGCTTGACTGAATGAGCTGAACTGGAATGCAGAGTTCTTTGATGGTGCCAGTAATTGGAGTGATCCAGTTGACATAGTATATTTGGACTTCGAAAAAGCCTTGACAAAGTCCCCCATCAGAGGCTTAACATCCGCTTGTGGATTAGAAATTGACTCCAAGATAGAAAGTAAAGAGTGGGTATAAATGGTCAATGTCAGGATGAAAAGAAGTAAACAGCAGGGTCTCCCAGGGATCTGTGTTGAGACCAGTATTTTTTACCTATTCATGAATGATCTGGGAAAGGGGGTGAGTAACGAGATTTGCCAATGACACAAAATTATTCAATGTGGTAAAAGTGAAGGTGGACTGTGAAGAACTACAGAAGGATCTAGTATGAATGAGCAAATGGACAACTAAGTGGCAGATGCAATGCAATCTAGATAAGTGTAAAAGTGATGCACCTGGGCAAAAGTAACCCCAACTATAGCTACACTATGGTGGGCTCTGCATTAGCTGTTACCACACAGGGAAGAGATCTAGGAGTCACTGTGGACAGTTTGCTACAAATGTCAGCTCAGTGCTCAGCAGCCACCAAGAAGGCAAACAAAATGTTAGGGATTATTAAGAATGGAATTTTAAACAAAACTGAAAGTATCATTATGCCCCTTTATAAATCCCTGGTGAGTTGACACCTTGAATACTGTGCCCAGTTCTGGTCCTCTCATCTCAAAAAGGATATAGAAGAACTAGAGACGGTACAAAGAAGGGCAACAAGGATGATTAGCGGTATGTAGGGGTTTCCATATGAGGAGATACTGAAGAGGCTGGGCCTATTCGGTTTAGAAAAGAGACGCTTGAGGGGGAACATGATAAGGGTTTACAAAATACTAAGTGGTGAAGAGAAAGTAACTAGTAAATATTATTTACTGTCTCACACAATATAAGAACTAGGGGTCACAAAAGGAAACTAGTAGGTAGTAAGTTTAAAACTAACAAAAGGAAGTTCTTTTGCACAAAGTGTTTTCATTAAGGTGTGGCATTCATTGCCACCAGAAGTTGTGGAAGCTGACCGTTTAGCTAGATTCAAAAAATGATTGGACAGATTCTTGGAGAACTGGGGCATCAGTAGCTATTGACCTTGGGAGTTTGGGATACAATCTCTGAATTAGAACTTCCTAGACCTTAAATGTTGGAGGCTACAAATGAGAGAGAAATCGTGGGACAAACACACCCTGGTCATACCCAGTTCCCTCTCTCTTTCAGCACCCACGCTCTGCCACTGTGTAAGACAGGATACTGGGCAAGATCTACGGTCCGATCCAGTAAATGGCAATTCTGATGTTCTTAGGCTCTTAGCAGAGCAATTCATCTGAGCAAAGAACTCAGAAACACAACAATTCAGAGCGGTTTTGACATTCTGGAGTCCTTTGGGTTTAATTTTGTGAATCACGTGTAGGTGTATCCATGGCATTAATATTGTATGGCACCCTTAAAAGGATCTTGTGGTACGTCAGGGTGCCATGACACCCTAGTTAAGAATCACTGCTCTAGGCAATCAGAAACTTGTTTTAAATGCAAGAAGCCTGGCTCATGTTTTTAACAATTTTGTTTCACATGGCAGCCACTGCCACCAAAATGCAGAGACTCTAGGTTGTGGTAGACACGACTCTTTCCCCTCGCCCAGTATTCCAGTGGTCAGCATAATACCACCCCTAGTCCGTCCCCCGTCCCCCCCCAAATCTATCCAGGGCACTGAAGGAGCTTGCTCTGCCCCTGTTCTAGCCACAGCAGGATGGAGAGACAGCAGCAGGCCGCCAAACCTGCAAAGAAAATGTTTGAAGGAGCAGCTAAAAGTCTGAGACAAGAATATGACATTTTAAAGAATATATTTAAGCTCCCTTTACTCAGGTGTTTATGTCTCTGGGCACATTTTAAGATGTTTCCTTTAAAAAAAAAAGTTTTGACTTGCCATGCAAAATAAGTGTTAAACACATGATCTGGCCTGCTCACATCTAAGTGCACTGTAGCTGTAACCACTCGAAATTTAAACTTACCCATCCAGCAACACCCATCACAAGCCATCCTGCTACAAATATTATGTTACTATGCAGACTTCTATCTGCATAGTAGCTTCTATCTCCATCTATGTTATTTTGGCATACTGTTCATAACTAAGTTTCTTCCTTAAGACTCAGATTCTCATAGTCTTTCTCATTTTAGTACTTCACTCCTTGCAGAAACTGATTATAGTTAATGTACTATTCAACTTGAATAACAATATCAGATTTTGGACCCAAGTTGTTTTAGGCAAACAACATTTTGTTTCCCTTTTCGAGTAGTTATTGCGTTTGTTTTATTGTAACAAGGTGCTTTATCACCATAAAGCTAAAAGACTGGGCTGGATTTTTCTTTCATTTACATCATTGTAACTCTACTGATTTCTGTTGCATTAATTCAGATTTAAACCAGTGTAAATGAAAGCATCTTAACGGAGAAATTCACACCAGTACAAGTCCAGTGTGATGGGAATCTGGCCTGTTGCCTTCAATGGCTGCGTATCATAGTTATGGTTAGAGCAGGGGTGGGCAAAATGCGGCCCGGGGGCCAGATGCAGCCCGCCAGGCCATTCTATCCGGCCCACAGGGCCCCTAAAACATTTAGAAAATTAAAATTTATCTGCCCCGGGCTGCCTATCATGTGGCCCTTGATGGCTTGCCAAAACTCAGTAGGCAGCCCTCCGCCCAAAATAATTGCCCGCCTCTGGGTTAGAGTAAGGGGCCATAAGCTTTGGCTTACTGCCATTACAAATTCTAGGGAAAAAGTTTAAGAGTTCGTGAAGTTCTAAAATATTTTCTGATATGATGATATTTCTAATACAGAGTTTATATCATATGCAAATATATATATAAATACATCTACAGCTCAACCCTGCCCACAATGAAAAGCATGGCAAGACTTCCATGACTTTAATAAGCAGGACTGCATACTTAGATAACTTTGGATGCCCAGAAGAATAAGTCACTTTTAACAACTTGTCAGGAGACCAATGGTCACACGTTATTTATTTTATTTAAGGAGTAAGGTATGTAATCTGCGTGGGTCACAACTTAACTGGATATACAGGTTACAGGGGAGGAGCCTCTCTCTGTGTCTTGCTCATTATGAAGCTAGTAGTAATCACCTGCTGACCGCATATTATAAATTTGAGCCTAAATAGAAAAATTAAATGGAAGACTTACTGATTTTGTGTGAGTGTAATAATATTGGCAAAGCTCAGATAAATGTTTCAGGATACAAAATGAAGCTATCTGCAAAAATACAGGGGAGGTTATTGACTTCTATGTTTGTTTGGTTTTTGCAGTAGCACCTAGAAAGTCCTATTTTTCACAATCGTGTGAGAGGTAGAAGTGTTTCTCTGTTTGTACTAAGCACTGTAAGTGCTTTTCACAAAATTCACCACAGAAAAAATGATGCTGTTATTCACTTGTCTCTAGACTTGAAGCTAAAGCAGGCATACATGGCATGTGTTCATTTCCTATTAATGTACCACCCAATGCAGATCCATGACATCTGTTATCTTTTTTTTAATGTTTAGAGTACTCTAGTGAAAGGTAAATTTGTTAAGCAAGATTTTTTTTAGCAGCTACAAGGTTTCTGACAACCAAAATCCTTTTGTAACATACTAATCTAAAATTAGTGATTGCTTCTTGTGCAGGAAGGAAATCATAGAAGAAGAGCCACAATTCTAGCACCTACCGCATGAGATGTGAAAGTCAGTAAAATAAGTCTGCTTCCTGACACGCAGGTTGAATGTGCTGCATCAGATAGAAATATACTGGACTCTTTTCATTCCATGGAAATGTTTCTGCTTTCACCAAGATGAGTAGAGGGCTTGATTCTTTGTGGACTCTAATGTACTTCAATATCCAGTTGCCAAGCAATGGATCTCAGCTCTGATCTGAAGTGATTTCCAAGGCATAAAGACATTTTAGTCACAAGGCTCATCCTTCTTTGACATCCACACTAAGACCCCCAATAAAAATGCTGATTGTTGCCCAGTATGATGGCAGTCTTAATTAGCCACTTGAAATTAATATAGAAAGCATTTTTTGGGATGATCTCTTTTATTGGACCAACTGCTTAGTTGGGCTAGAATTAGACAAGCTTTTGAATGCAAGACATTCAACCTTAAGAAGAATGCTTTGCATCCAAAAGCTTGCCTAACTATCCGAGCTTTACAGTTGGTCCATTAAAAGATACCACCCACAGAAATCCATCGATTCATAGATTGTAAGGCCAGAAGGGACCTTGGAAGATCATCGGGTCCAGCCCCCTGCACCAAGCAGGAAAGATAACTGGGGGTCAGGTGACCCCAGCAAGGTGACTGTTTAGTCTCCTCTTGGCTGTTGCATATAGAAAGCAGCTAATGTTACTTGGGTAGCCAGCATTTTGGGAAGCTGCAATGCCTTTCAACTAAAACTCACCAAGGTTAGAACTGAACCTGTGACTTTATCGGCAAAGGGTCCTGCTCCCACTGCCAGTCTCCTTGACCTTCTAGTTATTCTTCCTCAACCACAATGGTTTTTTAACTAAAAACAGTTTACTGTGTAAGGAGACTGAGGATTGTATACCAAATGTATTGAGGCAAATAGTACTA